TGCTAAGCGCAAAATTGCAGTGTTGTAGGTTCTGCTCCTCTTCGCGTTCATATCAATTATATGGATTCGTAACTCTGTGTTGTTCGCCATCGCAGATTCCCACACGAAGTGTATTTCTAGCGTCTGGATATTTTTTCAACCTGTTGCCCATTCTGTCAGCACGACCCCATATTAAACACCGTCCTCCTACAGTTCCGTTGTTCGGAAATCGCGGATCAAGATCATGTCAAACAGTGAATTAGAGAGATTATTGTAATTTGTGCATTGTTGATTTTGGGGTCTTTTGAGGTATCGTATCATACTTTGTCGGTTACTGTACAAATCTCGTTTCAGAGTGAAGGCGAATCTAGTGGTGAAGGAGAAGAAGTACGTGACGACCTCGAGCGGACGATCATGGAAAACGCCAACGATGTAATATTCTGTTTTGCGGTTCCGTTAGAATAATTTTCAATCAGTTATCGAATGTTTTTTTTTCGTTGATATTTTCAGGAGGACATTCAAATTCTGGATGAAAACGTTGAGCCTCTAAGGAACACTCCACCAGTTTCGCCATCCGATTCCGGTAGTGAGGTGTGTCCTGCATTTCATAACCGAAAAATCGTATTCTTGTTCCTGATTCTATTACCAATTCAACTTTTTTACAGCTGAGCTCAACAAATCTTCCTAAGCGTAGAAGGACCGAAAATCTCACAACGGAGGATGACAAAAGCTGCCGACCCGGGTAATCTTGTCTTTCACTATTTTTTGGTCCAATTATGTTTATCGGTCGGGTAGCTCTCGTCAATTTGAGAAAACCTCAATCAGTGCTCGTATCTAATCACCTCACGCTTCTGAAACACGTTGATCTCTCTTATCTACGTCACGTACACTTTACTTTACTACTTAGCGTCCAGCTCATGAACGTCGTACTCTGCTTCTTGATATTGCAAGTTATATTGCAGGGTATCGACAGAGACGACGTCGTCTACCGCGCTTGGCGCGGCTTTGGCCGTGGACGAGGAAGCTGACGATGGATGTACTATCTGTTATGAAGTTGGTTTTTTTGAAGATTTGCATTTGCTCTTACATCTCAAACATTTGTTCAAGGAGTACACAAGTGCTGGTGAACATCGTCTTGCTTCAGTGAAATGTGGGCATTTCTTTGGATATTCATGTATTGCAAGATGGATTCGAAGTGAAGGTGCGCTTAAAATTCTGGAAATCTTTCATAATGAGTGGTTTGGTAGGGTTAATGATTAACGTGGAAGTATTCCAGGTAGAAATGCTGTTTGTCCAACATGTAAAACGAAAACGAGCATGAAAGACGTGCGCAAACACTACACTGCAGCTGTAAAAGTGAGTTAAACGCGTAAATTCAGAAATGCTTTACTTTATTTGTGATATCTTTTTTGAATGCTAACTAAACATCAATCATCTCACAAACCGCGTTTATAGTAGGCGTCGAACCGGATAACCAGCGAAACACGAGCAAGATAACGCATACAAAAATCAATTTCTTGCACTAGTCGTTATAGCCATTCCTTCTCGCAGTTTCAAATTATACATGCGAAGTATACGAAGTTAATCCGTCCTATTTACACCAATCCTGGCTGCGAGTTTCACGAATTTCCTGGTCGATAGGATCCTACGCTTTTCGGATTCTCCCATTCTCCTGTTACTCTTAGGCCGCAATCATAATTCACGACCTCGGAGATTAGGGTAGTGAGGTCCAGTTTATCAGAATAGTGGGATATCAGGATATTTAGCTGAAAATAATAATACGTGACTAGGGTAGTAGGAAATAGGTGGATTAGGCGTCGACGTGTAGTCTTTTCTGCGGAATATTCTAATCTATTAATCTTCTGGTCTCCTTATCAATACACATTTTTTTCATCGTCCTCTATCCAACCTCCGAAGTCGCGAACTATGAACATGGCCTTATGATCTATTATAAGCCTTTCTTAAGGTTACTGATACCACTGAAATAGAAATGCTCCGCAATTCGAACGCAGCTCTACATATCCGAGTATCTGGACTTGAAGTTGAACTAGCTAAAAAAGACCGTGAACTGGCTGAGCTTATCAAGAGGCTCCATGAGGGGAAATCAGCGTGAGTTCATTGTTTTCTGCAGTGTGATAAATCCGATTTCTGATAAATAGATCATAGTGTTTTAGTGGTAGCGCGCTCGCTGCTCCTCAGTTAATAGTACAACAAAGAGGAGGGCGCATGTTCATGAATCCTGAGCGAAAAGAAGCGCTCGCGCCTGGTGGAGTTAATGCCGGTGAGATCGTTGTTCTTGACTTTTGGAAAGTTAAGCAGTGTCTTTGCACCTTTCTTTAGTTACTCGTGATTATTATATTTACTAGGTTCTTACAGATGCCCGTGCCATGGATTTCAACGGAGAGTACTGGGCCGTGGGAGTTGCATGTTCTCAGGCTCGCAATATTTTCAGCCCGTTTGGCATCCGAATTCTTACGATCGTACGTTTTTCGGTCAATTACCTTCTTTCTAGAGGTCCTTGGTGTGTTTACAATGGACTAATATTACTACTGCTTTCAACCCTACACTACATACTTTTAAGAGCCGACAAGAGTTCAAGCTGAAAGAGTGTTATCCCCTGCATAACGGACGATCTCGTGTCGTTGTTTTTTCACCGTTCGAATCGTCCCTTCTTTTGTCAGGTAATCTTTGAATTTCGTTATTGAAATCAGTCGAGGTCGCTGAAATAGTTCCATCCCATTACCTTCGTACGTTATCAATTTAAACGATCTGCATTGTGAATTATGCGGCGGAATCATGAAATTTTAACCAAGCACCCACAACAATGCGTTTAGCGGATCGCATATTGTAGGATATGAAAT